GATACAGATATTTAGAATACATTTTCCACTGAAAAACATTCGTATACTGTAACGCTGAAGCTATTGCTGGTATACGTATACGATATCCGGATACATATTAATAGGCTGCCTCTACGAGGGGATGGATGACTTTAATGCTTAAAAAAAGTATAAGTCCGGCACTGTGAATGGCGAAAACTTGAGTTGCAACAAAAGAGATGGTGGGACTGGAATACAAAAAAGTTCGGAAAATGAAAACTTAACAGGAAATCAGCTTCAAGGATATTATTATCAAATTTCCCTCTGTGTCCACATTGCTAAGGTCAAAAATATGTATTCTCATTAAAAAAAATGGGTTAACCTTCAAATTATCTTGATGATTAAGGTCACATTTACGACCGCTAATTCATTTACCTCTCAAAAGTATATAATTTTTGTCATAACATTTCCACTAATAATGAAAACCAATGAAGACATTTCATGTTTTTTTGCAATATTTTTTCTAATTCATGCCTGTCCGTCATCCCTTTCGTTCCAACTCACGTGTCCCCCCTTGAGGAATTCAATTAAGTATATTTAGGTTTACATTTCTGTAAATTTTATAGCACTACAGAAACCACGTAATTAATTGAAAAATAGCGTATTTTCACGCCCTAATTTACCCTGCATTTCTATTTCGTCCCTGCCCGCCATCCCTATCGTCCCAAGTCACGTGTCCCCCTTTCAGAAATTCAATTAAGTATATTTAGGTTTACATTTCTGTATATTTTCTAGAACTATAGAGACTACGTAATTAAAAGAAAAATAGGGCACATTCACGCCCTGCATTTACCCCTTTTACTAGACGAATTTCTCTACTGAATTAACAAATTGTAGAGTCACTATTCTACAAACAATTGCGTTTAAAATTGCGCAGCTTGTAGAACCTTCTACACCTGCTTCGATGACAAAATAGTCGTAATCCTTTTGATTATTACCTAATACCTACAACCAAAATAATCGTTGTTTTAATTATGTTGCAAACAAAGTTTTAATGCAAATAAATGAGAGACATTTTCCTAATAATCTAAACAAACTATTCGTTTGAATTTGGATGGTATTATGCACAACATTAATTAAAAAATTGTTTGTCAAAAAAATAATTAAATTATAAAACCGTCGAATAAACGAAGTAAAAGGCAAACTAACAACATTTGTGACTTATAGCCTACTTATTCAGAGTGGCATCACATATACCGTAATTCGTAGCAAACTAATATAAGATTTGCGTTAGTGACTCCTACGTTCTCTCTTTTTATTTCATTTTTTTGTTCGCGTTGTTCATAACATAACGCTCCCTTTAAAACATCTAATTAATCTTCGGCCAATGAAAATTTGCCTTGATCAGATAAGGAAGAGCGACCGGCTAGCCAGAGAACCTAGGACGAGCACGCTAGATTCCTGGGATGGTTCATTTCCTAACGTATTACTGTCGTCATTTGTATCTTTGAAATCAGGACACCCACAAAAATTCTGCTGAGTAACAGCAACGTGCGCACTTATTACTAAAGCGGTCGTGATACCGATGTGACCTGATGTAAAGTTAAAGCGCCTAAAATTGGGTATACGTACAATATTTATTTGTACTGGGGAACGGAAGCAATGCACAAACCTGTGTCGAAAAATGAGATTGAATAATATCACTATACTTATGTAAAATGTTTAAAATTCGTTTTAACATTTAATCACTGTCTTTCTCTCTTTTATGAAAAAATTTTAAAACTCCTTCCAGCTTAGTTATCTACCTAATACATAAGCGTGTACGTGTTACAAAAAGGCAATTCTTTTTCTTTTTCTAACTCAATAAGTAGAAAAGATGTGGAGGTATAATTTTGTACATCAAATAATTTTATAAACAAAAATAGAGTAGAATGTTTCGCGAGTGTTACTGCTCGTTTTCTATTTCGAAAAATTAATCGTCAGTTTTTCAGGATTAATTCCATCATCATTTAATTTATCAAGGAATAACATTTACAAAATTTTTAGGTTTAACCAAAAGTAAGTAATTAAATTAATTAAATTTAAACAAAATGGCGGAGGTGACGGGAATTAATAATTTCTTTTAATTAATAAAAAAGTATAAGAAGGAATGAATACTTTCTACTGCAGTCATCTATTGCGTCCCTATAATTCAGAAACTTACGTGTTTGACTTGCAATAAACATTGTATTTAATAAAATAGGTAATCATTTTGATAATTTTGTGTCCCTAATAAAATAGGAAGACGTTATCTTAAGAATAGTATGCAAAGGCATATATATATATCAAAGAAGGACTCGTATTTCTAATCCGGCTACTCATAAGGAGTATTTGCAGGTTATCTACAGGTAATATAGAATTATTGAATGAACGATAATTGTTTATTTTCCTGTTTTATGGTAGCAAGAAAAGAATAAGTTCTGTATGTTGTTGAATGATTAGTCTACAAGTACATAATCTCTCAATAAACTGATTATACACAGACATTTTGAATTTTTAATTATGTAAAGTTAAATTCAATGCATTAGTTGATTTTTGAATCAACTTTACCCACTAAGGATAATTTCATATTAATGAGGAAAAATTGTTAGCCATGTCATTCCCTCGTCGGGAATCGAACCCGGGCTCCTGTGTCTACGCACCAGTACTCTATCACTAAGCTAGCTATATTTTGAGGTACGTGCCGTCGGTGTTGATACTGTTGCCTCCTCGTAGCTTAGTGATGGAATATTGACGCGTAAAACCAGGGGATCGGGTTCGATTCTCGGCGAGGGAGTATCAGTGACAACAATTTTTTTTCTCATTAATTTGAGGTTACTGGTAATCGATTTATTTATTACCTGGCTTTTTGTAATAAACTAATCACTTTATGTTACCTAAGACAATTTAAGAAGAAAAAAACGTAGCATTCTACCACTAAACTGCCGATGCTCATCTAACTTATTTCCTCTTATTTTGCCAGCATTAACGGGGACATAGGCACATGTTTTATTTTGTGGACATCTACCTATGACACAATACCTTTCAAACGATGTAAGTTTCAATCCTCTCCTTTTATAATAAATTCTTATATGAAAATGCAGGTACCACAATTCTAAGGTTGTGATACGTATTATATCACATGTCTGAATAAGTATGTAAATAGCGAGTGCATTTCCACAATGTGGTTGTGATAACAATGAAAATCGAAGCCAGGGCAGGGCAGGGCACTACATGGCGGAGTATTCGAGCACGTGCCAGACATGGTACATTGCATGAATATTATAATAACGCATACCGACTCATTGCCACCTAGATCGAATACTAATGTCCAAAGAACACTTGCATCGGACGACGAAAATGTCCAGTTATATGTATGTACCTATATGGCAGGAGTGATTTTGAGAAATTGAAACAATCGCGCCAAGCGCTGCGTTTCCAAAAAGAAAAACGAAAACCAAAGAACGCAATCAAAAAGAAAATAAATTTTCTGTTTGTTTTTTAATAGGATTTAAAATTCTGCTGAAAAATGTACCTATATACCCAATTCGAAATTAAAAATGTACTTAAATGCTATTACCATTGTAGGTAGTTTGGATGTGGAGGTGCTACGACGAACTTTCTCAACATATACACACATGAGACACGAGAAATATTCGTCTACAAGAAAAAAATCACTAAAATAATAGTATTCTTATGGAGTGCGTTTTAGCACGCGTGAGCTGTGTGACCAGCCGTCCCGCAGTCTTCTTTATTAAACGATATCAAATTCGATATAAGATGGATGTAGCTGCCACTTACGTAAACATACGTCTGAATTGTAAATATATTTATATATACACCTGTATGCACATGTATAGATAATGTAATTTGCATTTAGCGTTTTAAAAATATAAAATAGGTTGAAAAACTGTCAGATTAAAATTATTATTACTTTTGTATTTGTACTCATTTTAAATAGAACTACTTCAAGGACATCTACGTCGCTGTTATGTGCCAAATTAAATATGTAATGGCTAAATAGATATAAATTCATACAAATCTATATGGTGAAAATTTTCATGTTTGTTGCTTCATCATTATTAATATAAATAAATAGCGAAGACCTTAAGAAACCTTCTTGTTTCCCATAAAAATTCATTTACTTTTAACAATGTAACACAAAAGGAGTTCTCAAAATATGAATTATGTTGTTTGTTAAATGATATTTAAAGAAGCGGCATGCGTAATATGTTTTATACTCGATTATAGCATTACACTTTTCAACAGGATTTATCACAATTAAAATTCGTATATATACTTNATCATTTAATTCTTGCTACTTAATTTCGGATATTGATTGTCAGTTTTCAAGTCTTTACCGTTATCTTCATCGGGATGATATACGCCTTCTCTGTATGAATTACCGATTTCAAATAGAGTACACAGTAGGGTATTGTATAATGTTATGCTCAATTTTTTTCGAAAATTTTAATATATTGGCCATACAAAAATATAAAAAAAAAATAACTATTGGCAGAGGATATCGAAGGGCCAAGTCGCCTTTAATAAAAAGAAGTCACTTCTATGCTCGCGAACGGTTAATTTACAAATGCAAAAAGGATTGTTAAAGGTGTATATTTGGAGCGCGGTGCTGTACGGGTGCCTAACAAGGACAGCGGGCACGTCGGAAAATAAAAAGGTAGAAGCGTTCGAAAGTTGGTTCAATCATAATCAATCATTTAAAATTAATTATGTAATTATTGAAAGTTGAAGTTCTTGCGTAAGTTTTGATGTGCTTCTTAATTATTTCGTTGAATTGTCGACTAGTTTGTCCTATATTGCATTGTACGTGTTACTAATTGAATAGTGCAAATTAAGTTGGTTTATTTTTGTTTTTTAAAGTAGTTTAATTATGTAATTGATCATAATTTCTCTATTAAACAAAAAAAAATTGAAATTACCTATAGCAAAATAATGTCAGTGTAAGAGTGATTTTAGCTATAATCAAGAAAAACTCAGTGTAATTTCTAAAAATCACTTACCAATTGTCAAACAAAGAAGAAAAAACATCCAGCTGCTATCTAATTTCCCAATTGGCTCTGTAAAAAAATTAATTTTGTTGTAACAAAAATAAACAAGGAACTATCAACTAATCATTATGTTACATGTACAAAGTTTAAATGGTAAATAACCTTTGAACTTAACCTTTTCCTTTTCTTCTCACAATTTTTGAGTATTTTGGATTTTTTAACCTGGTATTTAGTCTCTAGGACGCTATGACTACAAAACCTAATTGAACGAAATTTTTAAAATTTAAACATGACTCGTTCAGGTAATAAATATACTACCGTTTCGCTTATAGATTGAGTGCTTCTTTTAGGTAGCTGAATTGATAATAAAAGTGGACATAATATAACAAGCAATTGCAAATTTATAACGAAATAAGGTATATGATTACTTTAATCAGATTTGTGAATTACTTTTTATTAAAAAATAATTTTTTGTTCTTTTTCTTTCTAATTTTAACATGTACCTCGTAGTTAATTTACTTTTTTAACCACATTAAATTAATTAACAATTTTAATTAAAATAATAATAAAGTACTTACAATTGCGATTTAAATTTATAATTTCTAGTTATGTTAAGAAGGTAAATCTCCAACATTATTAACAATTCCATTATCTTCAGGAACCTTTCAATCTATAGGCCAAATGTTCATTTATTAAAAATTATTGCCGTTTATTGCCACCTGGTGGGTATTTACAGTTACTAAATTATATCATGTATTAGAAAAGGTCTTACCAAGGTATTTGAACTTGAGACTGCCTGAGACGAGCTCATAAGATATAAAAAGACCTAATCGTGATACACGTGTGATAGTTTTGATAAATTTTTGCCCAAAACTAAGAACTTAAACGGTCTCATTTCAAGTCATTCCTGTAATAAGAAACCAGGAGAAATAAGGATTTAAAATTTAAAAATTAAGAAAAGTAAGGTAGCTAGCTACGTAGTCATCAATTGTAAAGTAAATATTTAAAAAAAAATCCTTTACCTATTGTGGCGAATAATAAGAATCTTAATTATAAGGGTGCTAGTTTAAAAAAGTTACTCGCTTTCTAAAAGGGATTAAAAAAGTACACATTCAACCCTCTTATTAAGGTGGTTGTAGTTATGTATTCAACATACTGTTGTATCTATACATTGCAGGCTGCAGTGCAATTTAGAATCTACCATCAAATAATAGCAATCATATGATATATTGTGCAACAGCAGTAGCAGCAGCAGCTACCATGAATGTCCTTCCACACTTTGAACACCGAAAATGCAACCTACTTGGGATTATAAAGAAAGATAATCGTTTTTCTGTTAGTTGCCTATTTATTAACTTCTTCTTGTATAAGCTACACTATTTTATGGGCGTTTTCAAGGACTAGGCTGTTCCCATATTCACCCGAAAAGAAAATATCCCGTCTGAGATGGATACTCTCATTAGTGGGACTGACATGTTCAGTATTTGACAAATCAAGGAGCCTGGAAGATTGACAGATAAGTGACTGTCGCTTACCCCCCACCGCCTGACAAATGGAACACAATTAATCTACCAAAATACGGGTCTCTTCTTCTCCAGTAGCTCTGCGCGCCTTTTAAACAATTTTACCTCCTAAGAACCGTTTGACCTTAAAAAGTATCAGCCAATAACAATCACCTATCAGTACGAAATCAGTAGAATTTTAATAACTTAATCAAACACAAAATATACCTATTAACATATATATATATATATATATATACGTATAAAGTTCATATGTATATGTAGGGTATTCAATATTATAACTTCTCCAATTTGCATGAAATAAATGTTTTGAGAAAATGTACTTCGTGGAAGTTGTCGCAACTGTCTATGGCGTGCTGATGAGATCTAAGGGGATGGAAATCACCGATTCACGCCTGACCGTTTCAACAGAATACTGAATACTAAGAATAATAACAATACGTTACAAATAGGTAAACAATTTAAGTACCGCTTTAAATTCTCCAATTTATTTATTTATATGAAGGTATGTATCCTTCAATGATAATATATGCGTATTTTTTCCAATACGTAGTATTTTTGAAGTGCAGCTACTATAAGATTTTTAACAATGGTTTTATCTTATCGCTTCAAATGGCGACAGTAATCGCTAAACATTCCCGCGCTCCTAAAGTGTCTTTAATTTTTGGATTGATTTAAAATGAAGCCAATTGTAGGATTTCGTACGACCGAATGAAAAACGGAACCCTTACAGAATCACTCGCGTGTCTGTCTGTCCATTTTTTTTATTTTGTTATTGCTATACAGTTCCAACTAATTTAACGCGTTTGCAGACCAACTATTCAAAGTTTGGTAACAAATCATTTAATTCTTGCTACTTAATTTCGGATATTGATTGTCAGTTTTCAAGTCTTTACCGTTATCTTCATCGGGATGATATACGCCTTCTCTGTATGAATTACCGATTTCAAATAGAGTACACAGTAGGGTATTGTATAATGTTATGCTCAATTTTTTTCGAAAATTTTAATATATTGGCCATACAAAAATATAAAAAAAAAATAACTATTGGCAGAGGATATCGAAGGGCCAAGTCGCCTTTAATAAAAAGAAGTCACTTCTATGCTCGCGAACGGTTAATTTACAAATGCAAAAAGGATTGTTAAAGGTGTATATTTGGAGCGCGGTGCTGTACGGGTGCGAAACATGGACAGCGGGCACGTCGGAAAATAAAAAGGTTAGAAGCGTTCGAAAGTGGTGTTACAGGCGAATGATGATGATACCACGGATAGAGAAGGTTAGAAATGAAGAGGTACTAGAAAGAATAGGAGTACAGAGGTCACTATGTAAGTCAATAAGAAATAGGCGAAATAGGTTGGTAGGACACCTTCTAAGGCATAAAGGTCTAGTCAGAGGCATATTAGAGGCAGAAACAGGAGTTAAGAAGAGCAGATATAGATTAAATTACTATTCGCAAATAGTTAAGGATGTGGGTTGTTCTAGTTTTAGGGAAATGCGAAGATTAGCTCATAGTAGGAAAGAGTGGAGGTGCGTGTCTAACCAGTCTTAGGACTGACGACCTTGTGATGACGATCCACGGTATCCTCACTATTTCGAAAGATTCCAACTTTTCTTTTAACAATTGAAAAGTAAAAATCATGAAAAAAAATTTTGTTCGGTAACTGAACACTAGCAATTCGCAGAGAGAATGCATACGATTTTGGAAGATGAAAATGAACCATTAATTAATAGTTTTGGGGAAATGCAAAGATTAGCTCAGGAAGAGTGGAGGTGCGTGTCCAAACAGTCTTAGGACTGACGACCTTATGATGATGAGGTACTTCAAAACCAAGACGTCATAAAAACATACAGTAACTATGTATTATTGTAGTTATCTTTTTTTTGAGAACCGACATCGCATTACATAATAAAATATACCACTCATAATATGCAGAAATGTTGCCCAAGATGCCTAGAACTACTCGGCATAAACAGTATGTTAAAGCCAGTAAACGGGGATAATTGTAGATTCAATTTCATTTTATCAGTAAACATGCATGCAACAAAATACTACAGATAAATGAGATTTGTTTATAGATCTGCAGATATAACAAAGTAATTACAATTTTATTGCCACTTGAAGTTGTTACTCTTGTACAAGACGGTATATCTGTTGTAACATACATTCACGTACAGTACTTTCTTAACCGTCTTTGACCATAATGTAACGGGTGTTATTAGTCATGCTTTACCTACGCCATCCCAACAGTCCCACTCACATCAGAATCTCATTATATTCTCGATGTTAATTAGAGAAATACAAAATAACGATTATTACCGCCAGAAGATTTACAAACGTCACGTGTTTTATAAGCAATATTGTCACCACATAAACATCTACATAGTTATAGACACAATCGTACATACATATGTATGTATGTATATGTGTCTGTACATCAAATACGAATATTCTTCCTTATTTTTACTATTGTGTAAATTAACTGTGTTTTGTTACCTAACAGTTGAAAGTTATGGTTATTACATTATTTACTTTACTGCAAATTAATTGATTAATTGTCTACTGTCTTTTAAAAGTAGAAATAAATGCGGTTTTTATCTCTTTCTTAAGCTGGTTCCTCGACATTTATACAATAGGGTAGTTGTTTTGAAATATACGTTTGATTTAGAAACCCTGTAGGTATGTAGACAATTTATTCCAAGTGTAAGTAATTATTTTATATGGGCTATTAATTTTAATTTTATAATAATTTTAGTACTACCATCTAAATGTCTTTGTAATCAGTAAGGAATACATTCTTTTCCTCTTTGCCTAAACTATGAAACATTAAAAGTAGTTGATTTTTTTCTGTAAGATATATTTCTTCAAATTGCCTAACTACTGTATCCGCAGTTTAATACAATACTCTTGACTTTTAATCAAGAAATGACCGAATACCTACCGAATTAAGATAAATGAATGCAAATTGGTTTGGAAAGTATATACAGTTTTATTTTCAAAGACCAATTCCCTCTTTATAGGTAAAGTGTGGTGGCGAATTGAAAACCGATAATATTAGGGATATTCCATTTCATCCAATTTTATTAAAGGGCAGTATCATTTATCATCAAGTACGACATAGTATAGGGAAATTCATATTATCTATTCAACATTATCATCATAAGTTCGTTTTAGTCTTAAAACTGGTTGGACATGCACCTCCACTCTTTCTTATCCTGAGCTAATCTTCGCTTCCCTAAAACTAGAACATGCCACATCATTAACTATTTGTAAGCAATAATCTATGCAAGATATTCCTCTAATCCTTTTAACGCCTGTTCCAATATGTCTCTAATTAGCTCTTCATACCTCACGTATCCTATTCGCCTACTCTTTCTAATAATACCTTCTCATTTCTAACTTTTTCTATCCACGGTATCCTCTTCGTTCTCTTGTAACATCAGATTTCAAACGTTTTTTCATATGAATCATCAATTAAATTTAAAAATTTTGAGGGGTGCTACGATTTGTTCAAAAGATTTTGAGAGTTCGATGAGTTTACAACGGTT